TCAGGAGTGCCATCTTCATGGAAAGGTGAGTTAATGAACAAGTGACCATAGGTTCAAATGGTGGTCTGTGTCAACCGTTTTAGCATTAGGTTGAGATCCCATTGAGGAGTGGGAAGTCTGAGTTGTGGGAAGAGGTTCATTATGCCTTTGAGAAAAAATGGTTACTAACCTTCCATAACTATTGTTCTTTGAGATGTGTTGCTCATGTCCATTCCATGCTAGGTTTGTGCGTGCCACGTACACAGTTGTCAGAGATTTTTCCCTTAGTGGTAGCTGTAGGGCCAGCCCTAATGCTCCCTAGAGCCCTGTCATCACCCCATGATAGGAGGTGGCACCACACACCCAACTGAGTTACGTGAGTGCTTTACCTAAGCCACTCAAGGACAAACTGAAGACGACAGCCTGAGAGGCCTGCCCAGCTGGGGGGGTCAGAGCCCACAGCAGTTCTCTCAGCTCCCAGACAGCACCCCAGGAGTGACAACCTGTTACATAGGCAATCTGACTTGTCCTGTCAGTTCAGTACAGTGCATGCCCTGGGTACCAGATTTAGATGGCTTCGGTACCATTGGTACCAATGATACGGACAGAGCCAGAAATGGTTTTCTGCTCAACCGGGGCTTGCTATGGGGACACGTGGACCTTTTCTTAGCGTCTCACAGGCATCTCCCTAAACTCATCTCCCTTAGAAGTAGAGGGTGCAGATACACCTACACTGGAGCACCTATAGGGACACTACTCAAAGAAGAATCAACTGATCTGATCTCTGTGATGGGTCCTGGCAACATTGGCCAGTAAAACCTGGAAAGGAGACTGGGTAAGAAAAACCATCTCAATGTAGTAAGATAGCTTTTGTTTAAGTTTTAGATGCATTTTCGCTTTTATTTGCTTGTAACCTATTCTACCTTCACTCCCTTCTATTTAGTATCACGTAATTCATGCTCTTCTATTAATAAACTTGTTTTACCTCTACTATAAACCCATTCAGTGCTGTGTGAAGAGAAAGGGTGTACTTTAGGGCTGCAAGAGATTAAAAAAATTAATTGTGATTAATCGTGCTGCTAAACTAATAGAATACTATTTAAATATTTTTGATGTTTTCTACATTTTCAAATATACTGATTTAAATTACAACACAGAATAGTGTACAGTGCTCACTTTATATCTATTTTTATTACAAATATTTGCACTGTAAAATACAAAACAGCATTTTTCAATTCACCTGATACAAGTACTGTAGTGCAATCTCTTTATCATGACAGTTGAACTTACAAAGGTAGAATTATGTACAAAAAAAACTGTATTCAAAAATAAAACCATGTAAAACTTTAGAGCCTACAAGTCCAATCAGTCCTACTCTTGTTCAGCCAATCGCTCAAACAAGTTTGTTTACATTTGCAGAAGATAATGCTGCCCACTTCTAGCTTACAATATCACATGAAAGTGAGAACAGGCGTTCTCATGGCACTGTTCTAGCCGGCGTCACAAGATATTTACGTGCCAGATGCGCTAAAGGTTCATATGTCCCTTCACACTTCAACACCATTCCAGAGGACAGGCGCCCATGCTGATGACAGGTTCTACTCAATAACAATCCAAAGCACTACGGACAGACGCATGTTCATTTTCATCATCTGAGTCAGATGCCACCAACAGAAGGTTGATTTTCTTTTTTGGTGGTTTGGGTTCTGTAGTTTCCACAGTGTTGCTCTTCTAAGACTTCTGAAAGCATGCTCCACACCTCGTCCCTTTCAGATTTTGGAAGGCACTTCAGATTCTTAAACTTTGGGTCAAGTGCTGTAGCTATCTTTAGAAATCTCACATTGGTACCTTCCTTGCGTTTTGTCAAATCTGCAGTGAAAGTGTTCTTAAAACAAACGTGCTGGGTTATCCTCCAAAATTGCTATAATATGAAATATATGGCAGAACGTGGGTAAAACAGAGCAGGAGATATACAATTCTCCCCAAGTATCAGAGGGGTAGCCGTGTTAGTCTGGATCTGTAAAAAGCAACAGAGAGTCCTGTGGCACCTTTAAGACTAACAGATGTATTGGAGCATAAGCTCTCATGGGTGAATGCCCACTTCGTCGGATGCATGTGACGAAGTGGGCATTCAACCATGAAAACTTATGCTTCATTACATTTGTTAGTCTTAAAGGTGCCACAGGACTCTCTGTTAATTCTCCCCAAGGAGTTCAGTCACAAATTTAATTAACCCCTTTTTTTTTTTTTTAATCAAGCGTAATCAGCATGGAAGCATGTCCTCTGGAACAGTGGCTGAAGCATGAAGAGGCATATGAATCTTTAGCACATCTGGCACGTAGATATCTTGTAACACCAGCTACAACAGTGCCACATGAATGCCTATTCTCTCTTCCAGGTGACATTGTAATTAAGAAGTGGGTAGTATTATCTCCCATAAATGTAAACAAACTTGTTTTGTTAGCTGAACAAGAAGTAGGACTGAGTGGACTTGTAGGCTCTAAAGTTTTACATAACTGCACTCAAAAGCAAAACAATGTAACAAAAAAAATCTACATTTGTAAGATAAAGGGATTGCATTACAGTACTTGTGAATTGAAAAATATTTTTATTTTTAGCGCAAATATTTGTAATCAAAAATATAAAGTGAGCACTGTACACTTTGTTCTGTGTTGTAATTGAAATAGATATATTTGAAAATGTAGAAAAACATCCAAAATATTTAATACATTTAAATTGTTATTCTATTGTTTAACAGTGCGAGTAATCATTTTTTAATGTTAATTGCGTGAGTGATTAATCGACACGTTAATAAGCTGTGATGTACTAACAGAACAGCAAACTTGTTATCTTCTGTGAATGCAGCGAAAGGGGTTGTGCATAGAATTGAAACATCTCTTAGGAGCTTAGGGATGGAATTCACTAATTGTTACCTGGTAGGCAAAGTTTGGGCCCGGAATGGCTTGTGGATTTTGCTGGGTAAGGAAGACAGGCAGGGTGGCTAGCAGGCAAGGGCTTGACGCAGTCATTCACCAGCAAAACTCACTCTTACTGAGGGAGAGAGATAACACAATGGCTCATAACTCTGTGTATCCCCAGAAGCATACTATAACTTGGCAATGGCAATATAGCATTATCCGTATCTTCATCCTCAGAGTCCAATTCCAATACTTGCATACATTCAGCTAAAGTCAGTGGTTCTGGTGTCTGTTCTTTCCAGTGGATTTTGTAAAATAATTCCTCAGCCTCCCTTCCTACTCACTTTTTCTTTGCAATTTCTGCATCTAAGACTCTTTGCTAACTTTATAAACTTTTTCAAAATAGCCATGAATTGGGTCAAGTAGTCCTCCACCTTGGTTCATGCCACAAGGACTCCTTGTTCATTTTGACCTAAGTCACTCCACTTGCTCAGTTCAGTTGTACTCCAGCTAGCCAGATCAAGAGACGGTGTAATGAACTAGACAGTTTTTTGAGGTAAACTGCCAAACTAACAAACTTCCGAATCTGAGAATTCCTCTTCTTGGTTTGCTAAACATGTAATTTTCATAGCTAAACAAACAACAGGAATTCCCAGATTCCAAAGTTTCAGTTTCTACTTGAGATAGCCTAGACAACAGCATACAGCTTTAAGTTGACGCTCTTTTGTTTTTAGTTCCTATAATTAAAATTAAGCAGACTATTTTACTGCAAATCTATTACCAAATGGCTAAATATTTCAGTATTTGTCATTAGTATAGTTATAATAATTTTATTTTTCCCAGATTAAGACAGTATTTACTAGTGCCCAATCCTAAACTAGTTTTCCCAAGTAAATTGCCAACCCTGCCCCTCTTTCATGCTTTAGAGCAGTGTTTCCCAAACTGGGGTTCGTAAAATGTTACAGGGGGTTCTCGGGAAAAAATTCCCTAATGGCGGACAGAGCTGTCCCGGGTAGCATGGGGCCAGCAGCCGGGAGCCCTTGAACTTCCAAGAGCTAAGCAGATCAAAGCAAGCATATCTATCACACTGAGGAGATTTAAACTTCAAGATTCCTTATAAGAAATGGAAAGGGAGGTGGATATTTTTTGCTGTTTTTAAAATTAAATAGGCAGCTAGTATTGTTTTTAAAATTATTATGAAGAATAAGTTTAAGCTTTGTTGTAATGTGCGTTGTTTGCCTGGACTGCTCAAGACCTGAATGCTTGTGTACAAGGAACTCTTTGAGTTGGCTTGTTAAATACCTTCATGCTGTTTCACATCTGATACTCCTTGATGAAACATAGGAGCCTTATCTTATAAAACAGGCTTATTCAAAGTGATACAAGTTACGAAAGTGAGATCTTGGAAGAGTGTTGCTGTTTTCATAATGTAATAAAAATACTGTAATGATAAATAGTGTGTAATAAGCTTGTCATAAAAAAATATATTTCCAAGATCACTGCTCGTATAATTTATACTCAGGTAAAGGAGAAAATCCCTGGAAATATTCATTTTTAGGAGGGGGTTCACGAGACTTGACATTTTAGTGAAAGGGGTTCACAGGGTTGTTAAAGTTTGGGAACCACTGCTTTAGAGAAAAGAAAACAAAAATAAAAAGGCAAAAACTAGAATACATCAAGGGAAGGGGTGGGGGGTGGGGGGTAATTCCCTTTTGACCCCCTGCAGCTGACCGAATGAAGCCCTGAAGATGAGATTAAGAATATAAAACATTCACTGGAAGGGATCCCAGGGGCTACTATGCCCAGAGTCTCACCAGCACAGGCAACCCCATCATACAATCCCACTCCATTTTAATTATGATATCAACATTCCAATTGGTCAACCCAGGTAAGACTGCAACTGGATGCTTGGCAATTAAAAAAAAAATCCCTCTCTATCCTCATCTCTAGGAATAACATTAATTGTATTTTCAGAGTGAATGTTAAAGTATCTACCAGTACATGTCTCTCTCAGTTTTTCAAAGAAAAACAAAATCCAATAAACAGACTTCTGTATGAGTTACATGCGTCACTGTAGTCAACCCAGCGGCTACAAAAGCAATGTCCATTTATGACCAAGATTTTATTGGCTCGTTTGGTAATCAGTACATAGACACACCATGAACAATTTGTACAATTTTTTATTCTTGTATATTTTTCATCTTTTTAAAAACCATTATTCCAATTACTTTTCATCTTAACCTGTGTTGACAAACTGTCCTTTACAATTGGGCATGATGTATCAGTATCTTGAATACTGTCATATGAAGTTAGATCTGCTATATAGAAAGTTCCACCTACTCAGGGCTTGTCTACACTTACAGCACTGCAGCAGCACAGCTGGAGTTGTGCTGCTGTAACGCTTAGAGAAGATGCTACCTGTGCTGACAGGAGAGCTCCTCCCATTGGCAAAGGTACTCTGCCTCCCTGAGGGGCAGTAACTTTGTTGATGGGAGAAGCCCTTCCATTGACATAACTCTGTCTACACTGGGAGTTCAGTTGGTATAAATGCATCGCTTAGGGGGGTGGATTTTCCAAACCCTTGAGCAACGTAGTTATACTGACATAAATCTGTAGTGTAGACCAGGGCTCAGTAACATCACACTCACTACACACCCAATAAAGGTTTCCAATTTTTCACAGCAGAGTTACGAAGTTATTGAAAAAAATAAAACTACCACTACTAAAAATAACTGTCACAGATAATACACAATTCTGAAAGGGAGATCCAACACCAAGGAGCAGTTTCATTACAGAAATAACTCTATAGATACAGTGGACATAAGTAAAATGATAAGACTTTTCAACTTATGATTCCAAAGTTTGATCTGTGTCATGCCTCATTTAACAGGATATAAAAACTGTCCCTCACAAGCTATGGAATGTTAAGTGTAATCAGGATTTCAAAGCCTCTCCCTTAGCTAACATTCCATTAATTTCTGGCTACACAGAAAATAGACAACCAGTAGATGATTTTACCTCTTTAAAAAAAAAAAAAAGCATTTACACGTATCTAATTATGTAAAAAAAAAAATGGGAAGTGGCGGGACTCCCTCCTTTTTAAAAGTGTGTTTTCTAGAACTACTAAAAAACTTGCATTTACAAAATAGTTGATAAAAATATTCCTCTGAATTGTACAAGGAAGGTAGGTACTGGGTCCACTGATAAAAGACTTGGTAGAGATATTACTGAGACTTAGCTTCTTTCTCTCTTGCTGCATCAGACCCTGGAGCCTGAAAAAGGGGAGGGGACATAGAGAACATTTAGTATAACAGTTTCCTGAAAATCTCAATGTCTTAATTCACACATAAGATCTAACAGTAAAGAGAATATGGTAGCTTCAAAAAGATTTAACAAATCAGGTATATTTTAGAGCAAAATTCATTATCAAATGTTTAGGACAAATGATTACTTATTTTTTGAAGTCTTCACACATTTTGATTCATGATCTTAACCAATCAGTCCCCTTTGATAACGTTCTACACACACAAATCAAATTAAAGTGAAATTTAACTGGCTCAAATTTTAGGAAGTCTGCTCCTCATATTGGAAATGTAAAAGATAAACTGGTAAGAATTAGTTTTACCGGTTAATCTGCCTTAACTGTTAATCCCGGAGCAAAGCCAGCTGGCCCGGAGCAGCGCCAAAGCAGGCCCAGCCACGCCGGCTGGAGGGGCCCTAGCCCCAACTGCGCTGGCAGGATCAGCCCCAGACATTTAAACAACATATTTTTCGTTTAAACAGCTAACTTTTTAAAACGGTATTAACAATTCTAGAATGCATATGCGGTAGGGATGTGAAGTCATTCCAGCTCAAGACAGACTTAAAGGTGAAGGGATTTTTTTTTTTTTTTTTTTTTTTTAAAAAGGAGCCTACTTCATTAACTGCTGCCCTAAAGGTCAAAATACTTGGGTACTCTCTCTCACACTAGGTAGCTTAGATCCTGGGGAATAGCATATCTTTAGAGAAGCAAACATTTGAATGTGTTATTCTACACTGCAGTATTTGCATTGTTACTTTAACATGTTTTAAGACAAAGTGATCATGTCACAGTATTCTTGAATTTAGAAGTCTATCTCTGCAGTAATTTAATTAAATATCTAGACTGAGTAATAGTGGCAGAACTACACTGTGTCTAGATCAGTGTTCTCCAACCTTTTTACGCCCAAGATCAATTTTTGAATTTAAGGGCAACCCAGGATCTACCCAATCCCGAGACCCCGCCCCGCTCACTCCACCCTCTCCCCCCGTTGCTTGCTCTCCCCCACCCTCACTCACTTTCACAGGGCTGGGGCAGAGGGTTCGGGAGGGGGTGGGGGCTCTGGGCTGGGGCGGAGGGGTTTGGATTGCGGGAGGGGGCTTCGGGCTGAGCCTGGGGTAGGGGTGCAGGAGGGGGCGCCAGCAGAGTGTTGGTGTGCGGGCTCAGGACTGGGGGTGCAGTGTGCAGGAGGGGTTATGGAGTGGTGGCTCCAGGAGGGGAGTTGGGGTGCGGGCTCCCGCCGGGCAGAACTTACCTTGGGCAGCTGCACAGCTAAGGCAAGCTCTCTGCCTGCTCCAGCCCCACGCTGCTCCCGGAAGGGGCCAACGCGCCCCGGGGAGAGGGGGAGATGTGGCTCCACGCACTGCCCCTCTCTGCAGGCACCGCCCCCACTGGCCACAGTTCCCTGTTCCCGGACAATGGGAGCTGCGAGGGCGATGCCTACAGAGAGGGGCAGCACGCGGAGCCACGTCTCTCTCCCCCCTCCCCGGGCCACATTGGCCCCTTTCGGGAGCGGCGTGGGGCCGGGGCAGGCAGGGAGGCTGCTTTAGCGGCACCCCTGCTGCACCACTGGAGATTGTGATGGATTGGGAGAGCCTCCAAGGTCGACCAGTCAATTGCAATCAATCAACTGGTGACCACTGGTCTAGGTCAAGCCAGTATTTTGTCCCTTAACTTCAAAACAATGAATTCATACAAGCTTAAGAACATAAGAATGGCCATATGGGGTCAGACCAATGGTTCATCTAGCCCAGTATCCAGTCTTCCGACAGTGCCCAATGCCAAGTGCTTCACAGGGAATAAACAGAACAGGTAATCAAGTGATCCATTCCCAAAATGGCCATTCCCAGCTTCTGGTAAACAAAGTCTAAAGACACTTCAGAGCATGGTTTTGCATCCCCGCCTATCCTGGCTAATAGCCATTGATAGACCTATCCTCCATGAATGTATCCAGTTCTTTTTTGACAGGATACATATACTCCATCTAAATAGATAAATTCATTGCATTTTTACTGCATAAGTATTATCTTTAAAATAGGACTGTCAAGTGATTAAAAACATTAACAGTGCGATTAATCGCAATTAAACAATAGAATACCATTCATTTAAATATTTTGGGATGTTTTCTACGTTTTCAAATATATTGATTTCAATTAAAACACAGTACAAAGTGTACAGTGCTCACTTTATATTTATTTTTGATTACAAATATTTGCACTGTAAAAACAAAAGTTATTATTTTTCAATTCACCGAATACAAGTACTGTAGTGCAATCTCTATCATGAAAGTTGAACTTAAAAACGTAAAATTTAGAGTCTACAAGTCCAATCAGTCCTATTTCTTGTTCAGCCAATCGCTCAGACAAATAAGTTTGTTTACATTTGCAGAAGATAATGCCGCATGCTTCTTGTTTACAATGTCACCTGAAAGTGAGAACAGGCATTTGCATGGCACTGTTGTAGCTGGTGTTGCAAGACATTCATATGCCAGATGTGCTAAAGATTCATATGTCCCTTGAAGCTTCAACCACCATTCTAGAAGACATGCATCTGTGCTGATGATGGGTTCTGCTCGATAACAATCCAAAATAGTGCAGACTGATGCATGTTCATTTTCATCATCTGAGTCAGATGCCACCGGCAGAAGGTTAATTTTCTTTTTTGGTGGTTTGGATACCGTAGTTTCCACATCAGTGTTGCTCTTTTAAGACATCTGAAAGCAAGTTCCACGCCTCGTCCCTCTCAGATTTTGAAAGGCACTTCAGATTCTTAAATCTTAGGTCGAGTGCTGTAGCTATAAAACAGAGCAGGGGACATTGAACTCCTTGGGGGAGAATTGTGTCACAAATTTAATTAACGTATTTTTTTTTTAAATGAGCGTCATCAGCATGGAAGCATGTCCTCTGGAATGGTGGCCGAAGCATGAAGGGGCATACAAATATTTAGCATATCTGGCATGTAACTACTTTGCAAAGCTGGCTACAAAAGTGCCATGCAAATGCCTGTTCTCAATTTCTGGTGATATTGTAAATAAGAAGTGGGCAGCATTATCTCCTGTAAATGTAAACAAACTTGTTTGTTTGAGCGACTGGCTGAACAAGAAGTAGGACTGATTGGACTTGTAGACTAAATATTACGTTGTTTTATTTTTGAATGCAGGGGTTTTTTTTGTACATAATTCTACATTTTTAAGTTCAACTTTCATGATAAAGAGACTGCACTTCAGTACTTGTATTAGGTGAACGAAAAATAATTTGTTTTTACAGTGCAAATATTTGTAATAAAAAAATATAAAGTGAGCACTGTACACTTTGTATTCTGTGTTGTAATTGAAATCAATATATTTGAAAATGTAGAAAAATATCAAAAATATTTAATAAGTTTCAATTGCTATTCTATTGTTTAACAATGCGATTGTGATTATTTTTTTGAGTTAATTGCACGAGTTAACTGCAATTAATCAACAGCCCTACTTTAAAAGGAATATATCAATTGAATTTATTTAGTGCTGACGAAAGGTTTTAGAACAGCAGCAGAGAGTAAGATCCTATTTATCCACAATACCAGCAGAAAACAAGGACAGCCACATTACAAGTGTCCTTATACCATTTACTAATATGACTCAACCTGATCTGGAGTAAGCTTTTCTAGGATCAAGAAGGTACTGCACTCTTCATGTCCATTTACAGTCCTCGGTCTCTCTGCTGGAGTTACCGAAAGGGTCAATTTTCTCATCAATTCGTTTCACAGTTACTGATCAGCAGTAACACTTTGTCTATAACAGGGTGTTCAAATTCTGTGAAGTGGGAAAAACTACACTTAGACTTGTCTACACACAATTTTTGTGCCAATTTAACCTTTTCTTCTTCGAGTGATGTCCCTTATGGATGCTCCACTGTAGGTGAGTAGAAAGCAGTGCCCCAACTGGAAGGCTGGGGCTTCAGAGCAGCATTTACTGCAGATGATAGGACAGTGCGTCCAAGAAGAGTGTCTGCTGTGACGTCATGAGTAATGGCATAGTGACAGGCAAAAGTATATGTTGATGCCCGTGTGGCCGCTTTGCAAAATGTCAGTAATGGGGACATGAATGAGAGGTGATGGTAACAAGATAAGCAGTTTTAATTGATAAGTAAATGTAAGAGCACATTGCCCTTGGTTCCAACGGAGGTCTAGTTGGAGAACAGAGGACAAGGCCGAGGTTCCCAGGTCAGATCTCATATGTGAGGATAAAGATTTTGGAGACCCTTCAGAAAACGTTTTGAGAGTGCATGTGTGAAAATGGAATGGCCGTCTATGTGGCAGTGAAAAGTGATGACAGCTGCCGAATGCACCTGAATGGAGCTGGTGGATTATCCTGATTGTTTAAGATGTAATATGTAGTTCAGGATAAGTGGTAGTGGAACACTTACGGCGTTGACTTGATAGGAGGCGCACTAGCATTGGAATCTAGTCAATTTTGTGAAGGTAAGTGTGTCTAGTCATGTCGTGCCTGCTGTTCAAAAGTACCTGCTTAACTGTGTCTGAACAGGTTATTTCCAAATCCTGGAACCATGGAGGAGCCAGGCTTTGGAGTGGAGCATCTGTGGACTGGGATGCAACCCGCATCCTGTGAAAGGAGCTGTGGAGTTGGATGAAGAGATCGGTTGGCATACTATCATGTGAAGGAAGTAAGTATACTAGATCTATCATGGCCAAGTTGGAGCTTTAAAGATGACTTGGGCTCAGTCCCCCTGTATCTTGTGGAGTACTCGAAGCAGAAGGGGGAAGGGAGGGAAGACATAGAATAGTGGTGCATCCCATGTGACGAGGAACACATCTCCCAGAGAGCCATGTCCCAGTCCTGCTCTCCAGCAGAATCTATGGTGGGGAATCCCCAGTAACTGAAGATGAGCTGAAGGATTCGTGTATCCAGTTCCCACTCGTGGTTGAGCAGGAGATTCTCCCATGAGTCTGCAGTGGTGTTCTGGTATCCAGGGAGGTGTGTGGCTGAAATGATGATGTGTTGGATACACCATTTCAATAATTTCACTGCCTCCAAGCATAAAGAGTGGGACCTCACTCCATCTTGCCTGTTGATGTAAAACATGCAAACGATATTGGTCATCATGACTCTTGATGGTGCGATGTGCGAGCAGTGGGAGGAAATGTCAGCAGGCACTGTGGACCTCTCGTACCTCTAGGAGGTTGATGTGTAGGGTGGATTTGGTTAAGAACCACCTGTCCTGCATTGTATGATTGTGAAGGTGTGCTCCCCAACTGATTAGGGAGGCGTTGATTGTTAGAATCATAGTCTGCGCTGGTTGGAGGAAAGAAATCCCAACACAGATGCTCTTGGGCGGTGTCCACCAGAGTAGTGAGTCCTTGACTCTCAGCGGCATGAATAAGTTTGTGGCGGTGGTCTGTGAGGGACATATACTGACTGTATGGAGCCGTGCCTGAAGATATTGCATGTGTAACCGTAAGTACTTTACCACGAAAGTGGCTGCTACTATGTGGCAGAGTAGTTGGAGGCATGTTTTGGCAGAGATCTGGGGGCAGGCTCGTTCTTTGGATACAATATCCACTATAGGCGAGAATCTGATTAATAAAAAGGTCCACTGTCACCCAGATGGCGCGAAGAGCATCAGTTTCAGATGGGGCCTTGAGGAGAATAAGTTGTGGGGTCATCTAAATATGGAAAGATGACGACGCCTTGTTTCCTGAGGTAGGCAGCAATGACTGCAAGAACTCTGGAGAATACACGAGGGGCCATGGACAGTCAGAAAGGCAGTATCTTGCACTGACAGTGGTTGGTGCCCATGGTGAATCGGAGAAACTGTCTGTGGGCAATGTGTACTGTGATATGGAAATATGCGTCTAGGAGCTCGAGGGCCAAGAACCAGTCCCCGTATTCCAGTGCTGGGATAATGGTGGAGAGGGTAACCATCCTGAAGCATTGCAGTGCGATGAACTTGTTTAGGTTTTGAAGGTCCAGGATCAGCTACCAGCCACTGGATTTCTTCTGGATCAGAAAATAAAGGAAGTAGAAATGCTGTCCTCTGTGTTGGGAAGGGACTGGATCTATGGCTCCCAACTGCAGAAAATTAATTTCTTCTTGTAGAATGGGTTCATGGGAAGGGTCCCTGAGGAGAGATGGGGATGGAGGGTGGTGAGGAAGAAGGATAGATACGAAAGGGATGGAGTATCCTTCCCTATCTTTAAAACCTACTTTTCCAAGGTGATTAGGCTCCGTGATGGAAACAAGGGAGCTAACTGGTCGCCAAACTGGTGGGATATCAAAGATGGTTGGTATGACTGTAACAAGGGAAGGCTTCTTTGGGCCTCGACTAAACCTTCAAAATTGTTGCTTGGATAGAGGTGCATGAGAGGTAGCCCCTTGAGGAGTGACCTGTCTGAATCTGGTAGGGTACTTTGTGTAAATGCAGAGAGATCAGAGAGCAGCTCAGGAGTGTAGGGTGTCATCCATATGCTCCACAAATAAGTTAGGGCTCTCAAAGGGTAAGTCATCTGCTGTAGTTTGTACCTCCTTAGGAAACCCCAAGAGGTGTAGCCATTACGCCCACCTCATGACTACAACATTGAGATAGAAGGGCGGCAGTATCCACAGAGTCTAAAGAGGCTTGTTGTAGGGCTGTATGGGCCAAGAGATGTCCCTCAGATATAAGCACCCGGAATTGTTCTTTCTTGGCTGCAGGCATGTCTTGGCAGAGTTCCTCTATCTTGAAGTAGTTGAGATAGTTGTACTTGGCCATAAAAGCCTCGTAATTAGATATACAAAATTGGAACTTGACAGATGAATAAACTTTGTGTCCAAATAAATCTAATTGCTTCCAGTCTCTGTCCTGATGGGTAGATTGAGGGAAAAAGCTTCCCAAATGGGAAGCGGGGAAACAGAAACCTAAGCTATGAAGCAACAGTAAAAATAAAGCAAAAACAACAACAAATTTTTTTTGATAGAGGAAAGTAGTAGTACTAACTACACTCGGCATGTCTACACTTACCGGCACTGCTGCAATTGATGCAGCCACTGTCGATTTAGCGGGTCTGGTGAAGACACGCTAAATCCATGGGAGAGCACTCACCCATCGATTTGTGTAATCCACCTCCCCGAGAAGCATAAGGGAAGTCGACGGGAGATGCTCTCCCATCGACGGAGCGCAGTATAGCCACTGCGGTAAGTGGATCCAACTACGTCGACTTCAGTTAAGTTATTCACTTAACTGAAGTTTTGTAAACTTAGATCGATTTACCGCTGTAGTGTAGACCAGCCCTAAAACTGACAGGCAAGGCACGATCTACTGAAGGTAAAGGAGACGCAGGCTCTGCTGTGCATTCCGTCCCAGACCAAAGGTGGTAGAGAAGGAACTGGGGGGCAGTCGAACCACACAACGCTCTCTCTCATTCATATATTATATATATACACACACACACACACACGTGTGTATGTCCCGCTCACAGCGCGACAGGGGGAGGTGCACATGTGCAGTCCGATGGGCACTGCTGATGAAGATCTCTGATCCCAGGCACAGGAGGCGCTGCCACATCTACAGCAGAGTACCCATTGGAACAGCATCACTTGAAGAACAACTGTTGCATTCAACAAATACGATTTCTTTGACCTTTGGCCATTTTCAGATATTAATCAATGTGCATGCTCAGTTTTAATAAGCATCAGTTAGGAGTGTAATTGCAATTATCAAGTTATTTAGAAAGTAAGTATTGAGCCTACTGACACTAAGTCAGATTAACATCCCACTGAAATGGATGAAGCAGTTGACATTGCAGACAGCCTGAAAATAGCTCTAAAACGTCTTCTTTTGAATTTGCATCAGTTATCCTTCTAGAGTATTTCTTTGCAACCATGAAGACTAGAAACTATCAGAGATTTTCAGATCCGTCAGAGGACAAAGCCACTGAGGCTGGTTGAAAATTTTCTGTCAGCTATTTCGGGTTTTAACATAATGGAATTTGTGAGATGTTTCTTGCTTTCTGCAGAAAACACTGTTTTTTGTTGAAAGATTTTGGTCAAAAACTAGTTGTAGCACTTCATGGGTTGTAGTTTGCTCCTTGCGTACTCACTCTCTTCCATGGGCTGGGATCCCCAGATACACATCTTCCATAATGCACCCATCTCCTCTCTGGGTGAGGGCTGTGTGCAACATGAAGTTCCTTGCCATCGTGCATTATGGGAGATGTACTCCAGCTGGGGATCACAGCCCAAAGAGAAGGGGGACATGAGGAGCAAACTACAACTCCCATGAGGCTCTATTACCACATTTGGCCGAAATGTTTTCATTTTGAGTTTTTACTGAAAGCTATATTCCATGGAAATTGAGTTATGAAAATGTCTCTTATTTTTCCAGAGGAAAAGATTCCAATGGATTTTCACACCAGTTCTGGTAGCTACATATCTTCCATTAAAGTTAATAGAAGATGCATGGCTAAATCCCCTAGGCTGCTATGAAAATCTCAGCAACATACATTTATATCATAGATTTTGCAGAAACTGAATCTGATGTCAGATAGACGTTTAGATTAACTAGTGCATTACATTACATTAACTCTTCATAATCAAGAGCTAATCTTTTGTCTAGGTTAAGACTAAAGCTACTACTATACCTCTGCACTGTTAATTTCTCCATTTTCTGCAGGCAAGTTATCGTTTGTTTCTTCTTGATTAGTCCCCTCAATCTGTTTTCCTTTTGGTCCTTTTTTCCCCTTTGATTGAGCTTTCCTGTCCTCAGATTTATCCTACAATAAAATGAACGTAAGAATTTTAAAACAAGATGGTTATTAATTCTCAATATTACCAAAAAAACCTCAGAAACTATATGCTCCATAACCAGTGAAGGAGGTTTCCATATACACCCATCTACCTCGATATAACGCGGTAAAGCAGTGCTCGGGGAAGGGGGAGGGCTGTGCACTCCGGTGGATCAAAGCAAGTTCAATATAACGCGGTTTCACCTATAACGTGGTAAGATTTTTTGGCTCCAGAAGACAGTGTTATATTTAGGTAGAGGTGTATATAGAAAAAAAAATTCTCTCCATTCCAGAAATAAGAGATAGTCAAACTGGGATCAGAAACTAAAACACTTATAAGAAGGTTAGTAGTGATTTCTCAGACCCCATAACTACTTCCACACAACCACTACACAATTTGATGAGTGGCAACCTGTTTGAGAGCCCTAACACTAAGGAAAATACATGCTGGAAGACAGAATTGAAGCGCATTGGTAGAATTACACAGGGAAACTTGCAAAGTCCATGACTTGACTGTGCTAATATTGTAACAATAATAATAATAATAAATAATAATATGGGTTGTCAATTAATCGCAGTTAACTCACATGGTTAACTCAAAAAAATAAAACGTGAAAAAATTGCGATTAAGTTAATACCAATTGAAATTTATTAAATATTTTGGATGTTTTTCTACATTTTAATATCGTATTCTGTGTTCTAATTGAAATCGAAGTGTATATTTTTTTTATTACAAATATTTGCAATGCAAAAATGATAAACAAAAGACATGGTATTTTTCAATTCACCTTATACAAATACTGTAGTGCAATCTCTTTGTTGTGAAAGTGCAACTTATAAATGTAGATTTTTTTTTATTACATAACTGCACTCAAAAACAAAACAATGTAAAACTTCAGAGCCTACAAGTCCACTCAGCCCTACTTCTTGTTCAGCCAGTCACTCAGACAAATAAATTTGTTTCCATTTACAGGAGATAATGCTGCCCGCTTATTTACAATATCACCAGAAATGGAGAACAGGCATTTGCATGGCACTTTTGTAGTCAGCTTTGCAAAGTAGTTACGTGCCAGATATGCTAAATATTTGTATGCCTCTTCATGCTTTCAGCCACCATTCCAGAGGACATACTTCCACGCTGACAACGCTCGTTAAAAAAATAATGCGCTAATTACATTTGTGACTGAACACCTTGGGGGAGAATTGTATGTCCCCAGTTCTATTTTATCTGCATTCTGCCACCTATTTCATGTTATAGCAGTCTCGGATGATGACCCAGAACATGTAGTTCATTTTAAGAACACTTTCAAGGCACACTTGACAAAATGCAAAGAAGGTACCAATGTGAGATTTCTAAAGATAGCTACAACACTTGACCCAAGGTTTAAGAATCTGAAGTGCCTTCCAAAATCTGAGAGGGACAAAGTGTGGAGCATGCTTTCAGAAGTCTTAAAAGAGTAACACTCCGATGCGGAAACTACAGAACTCAAACCACCAAAAAAGAAAATCAACCTTCTGCTAGTGGCATCTGACTCAGAAAATGAAAATGAACATGCGTTGGTCCGCACTGCTTTGGATTGTTATCGAGCAGAACCCATCATCAGCAAGGATGCATGTCCCCTGGAATGGTGGTTGAAGCATGAAGGGACATATGAATCTTTATCACATCTGGCACAAATATCTTGAGACGCTGGCTACAATAGTGCCATGAGAACGCCTGTTCTCACTTTCAGGTGACATTGTAAACAAGAAGCAGGCAGCATTATCTTCTGCAAACGTAAACAAACTTGCTTGTCTGAACAATTCGCTGGCCAAGAAGTAGGACTGAGTGGACTTCCAGGCTCTAAAATTTTACATTGTTTTATTTTTGAATGCAGGTTTTTTTACATAATTCTACATTTGTAATTTCAACTTTCATGATAAAAAGATTGCAACACAGTACTTGTATTAGGTGAACTGAAAAATAATATTTCTTTTGTTTTTTTACAGTGCAAATACTTGTAATCAAAAATAAATATAAAGTGAGCACTGTACACATTGTATTCTGTGTTGTAATTGAAGTCAATATATTTGAAAATGTAGAAAACATCCAAAAACGTTTACATAAATGGTACAGTAACTCCTCACTTAAAAGTCGTCCCAGTTAATGTTGTTTCGTTGTTACGTTGCTGATCAATTAGGGAACATGCTTGTTTAAAGTTGTGCAATGCTCCCTTCTAATGTCTTTGGCAGCCACCTGCTTTGTCCACTGCTTGCAAGAAGAGCAGCCCGTTGCAGCTAGCTGGTGGGGGCTTGGAACCAGGGTGGACCGGCAGCCCCCCTAAGTTCCCTGTGCAGCAGCTGCCTGCAGTTCAGCTGTGTCCCTCCCCCCACTACCATGTGCTGCTCCTGCCCTCTGCCTTGGAGCTGCTCCCAGAGACTCCTGCTTGCTGTGCGCAAGGGGGGGGGGGGAAGAGGAGAGAGAAGAAGAGGGGGGCTAATGTCAGGGTGTCCCCCCCCCACACTCTCCCCCCCCGCTTACCCCCCCTGCCGGAGGGGGGGGGGGGGGGGGGAGGGGAGACACAGGACAGGGCTTTGCTGGCAGCAGCTGTGGTCTCAGCAAGCTGATCTAGTTAACAAGGCAGTGTACTTAAAAGGGAAATTCGCATCTCTCTCTCTCCCCTCCCTCCATTCCTGCTGCCTTGTAAAGTGTCAGAGTTAACCCTTGAGGGCTCAGCCAATTTCTCAGTAAGGCATTCCCTGGGAAATATCCCACCCTCTGACTCCTCCACCTCAACCAAGCTTCACAATCATCATCACTGTGTATCAGTATTAAATTGTTTGTTTAAACCTTATAGAGTGAGAGTGAGAGTGTGTGTGTGTGTGTGTGTGTGTGTAAAAAATAGGCTTTTGTCTGGTGAAAAAAAATTCCCTGGAACCTAACCCCCTCATTTACATTAATTCTTATGGGGAAATTGGATTCGCTTAACATCGTTTCGCTTAAAGTCACATTTTTCAGGAACATAACTACAACGTTAAGTGAGGCGTTACTGTACTCTATTGTTGTTTAAAAAAATTAATCACGATTAATCGTACTGTTAATCACTTGACAGCCCTAATAAAGTACGCCCTTCTATTTCAGAAGCACCAAACACATCAAGCTTTTATCCTCTTTTTAGAATTTAATGGAAGAAATTTAATAATGCAGTAAAATGTTTTCAAGAGCACATTCAACAGTCAGCTGAGGTAGGCTTTATATTTTTTGCCCAAACTAGTATGGTTAAGCCAGAGGTTTCTTTTGACTTGATGGGAGTGATATTTTTCATTTAAAAAAAAAAAAAAGTTTCCCCGAGTATAAACTTCTCAACAAACTTTGTATCATTTAGTTGCATTCTAACGAATGCTTCAGCTGATTCCCACGGCTTGAAAATATTTAATATAGCGGTATGGAGTTAATATAAAAGAACAATTTAATACTTTTGTCTAACAACATTAATCCTATTGATGCCATTAACTGTAAGTGAACAACAGATTAAGACTTGTTATTGTTTTTAGACAAATCTAAGACACACATATTTAGCCATTCTTCACAGGTTTCCTACTTTTTCATTTAAAACATTCATTATATAAATTTAATCTAAAAGGCTTCTATACACCAAGTCTTCATGCATCTCTATTTCTAAAGTAGAGATCAAGAGACTAGAAAAAAATCATTTTTTTTAATTTAAAGATTTATTAATCATGTATAATGAGTAAAATTGTGGCTGATAACACAAATAGACTGTCTCATTTCGTTTGTATTACTGCAAGCCTACTGGTTAGGACTGTCACATATAGTTGTGTACTTCCCGTACATTTACAGAAAATACTGTCAGAACACTAAATTATTTCACAGCTGTAACTTAAGAACTTTATTTTACATAGCCAAGATTAAATTCACTAGAAAATGGTATATTTTCCCTACTTCACATATATGCTGCGTGCCAGAGGTGCAGTCTTTTAAAATGCAAGTACATACACACTTTCCCCTTCAGGTAGCAATAAAGACATGAAATATTGCCCCCTGATATCAAAATAACGATCAGCGCTACTAAAATATTCACACCTCCTAAGTATGTACAAGAGATCCTAAGTACCATTAGCTGCTTAATAAAGGAAAAGGTCTAAGAGAGGTGGAGTAGAACATTCTTCGGAAGTTCTCTTCTCAAGAGAGATAACTTGGTAAAAACCGTTGTTTAGTGCATTGCTCCCTGGAAGCCAGGTAAGTTAAGAGCAGCATCTAAATGAAATCTGTCCTAGATCTAGCTGTATGATCAAACCAACAGGGCATTGGGGTGTCGAGCAAGCCTGACACGGACAGTCTGTGCCATTCACAGGTGTGTCTCACTCACCTTTGCTGCTGCTGCCTTTTTTGGCTTGGGCTCGGCTTTGGCGGGGGCAGGTTTCTGGAAAGAGAGGCAGGTTTAGTGCTCGCCCCTCACAGCGCCTAGGAAGGGGCAGCCGGGGGATGTCTATACTTACAGCTGACAGGCGTGCAGACCGCCTCTTGGGCTAGAAAGAGAGACAGACAGCGTGAAAGTCGGGTCCCTGCTCCGCGCCCCTCCCCGGGGAGCCCGCGCAGGGAGCCCGGCACTTACCTCCTCCCGCGCTTCCCCTTCGGCCGCGTTCACCTGCAAACAAACGCACAGGGAGTGAACGAACAAACATGTGCGCACGCGCAAAGCCCAGGTTTCCTCCCCCCTCCCCAGGGGCGGTCACGGCTGAGTGAGGTCAGGACACACGCCCCTTCCCGCCGCCGCGTTCGGATTTCGAACCCCGAGTGCCGTCGCGTTTAACGGCTACAGAAAATTCGAGTGACGCAGCTGCCGCTAGTCGGGAGAAGGGCCCCGCGGTCGCTCAGCGGGTCCGGCTGGGGGCCCGGCCGGAGGGGGGCGCTGATGTCCCGAAGTGAGCGTCAGCCGAGCCCGGGGAATTTGCGGGCGGCGGCGCGAGAAGCCCGGGGATAGCCCCGGACCGCAGCGTCCGGTCGGCGGCTCGGTGCGGTGGGGAGCGGTTCCACCCCGCACCTTTCTCCTCGGCATGGCGAGCGGTGGCCCCGACCAACAACCCGCTAGTGCAGCTGTGGTCGCTACTGCTCCCCGCGTTCACTCGCTCCCAGCGAGCGGCTGCTGCCTGTGCGTGAATGAATCTTAGTGTCGCTGCGCAGTGGTCGGAGCCCGCCCTTCCCCCATCCCAGCGGCGCCGCAACAGGATCCAGCCGGATTGGGGGGGGGGGGGGGCGCGCCCCATTCACTGGCGGCCGCGCGCGCCCATTGGGCCGAGCCTCCCGCGGGGCTGCTTTCGAATCACAACAAGCCCCTGGGGCGGGCCCTGTCACTCATTTCAGGACGTGGGGCGTGGCTCATCATTCCGGCGGGGGAGGGGGATGAGCACCCATCTGATTGGTCAAGGTCCCTCACAGCCACGCCTTCCGTCCCGCTTCCCTTCTGTGCTGGAGCAGGGACAGGGGGTGGGTGAGGTGGATGCGCATGCGCAGTGCCAAGAGGTGGAGGAGTCCTGCTGTTTAATGGCGGCTGCGTGCGCGTGGTAACGGTAGTTCGGTGGCGGCTGCGAGGGGGTGGGTGGGTGATGGCGGAGAGCGGCGCGTGGCTGCTTGTGCTGAGCTCGGTGTTTCTGTGCAACCTTCTCAAAATCCTCCTGCCCTCCTGCTCCTCCATCGTAAGTGACGTCAGCGCGCCGGGCTCCCTCCTTAGCAACCGTCAGCCCCCGCTCGCGACAATGGCCGTAACCGCCCGGCGGGCGGCTCGGACCCCAGAGACCCTGTCGCGGAGTCCCCGGGGCGCGCTGCGGGCCTGGCCCGGCCGGGGGCGCGGCCCGATGCTTTCCTCTTTCAGGGACCGCAGCCCCGCTGCGGTGCGCGTCTCCTCGGGAGCCTGGGGCGGCCGGGCTGGGGCACGAGCGCAGGGAGCCTGGGCGGGCGCGAAGCTGAGCCGCGGTCTCCTGAGCCCAGGCTGGGCCCCGGGGACTGGCTGGCAAAGGCCCGGCCTGCGCCGCTGTTGCGCGCCGAGCTCGGCCCGATCGAGGCCGTCATGACTCAAGGCTGTAAAGCGCTTCGTCCCACCCCGGGTTTTCTGTGCCCCGGCCTCGGGCGACTGCTGCCACTGCCGGCTTTGCGCTTGGAAATTGTCCCCGGCTCCTTGAGGCCAAGGGCCCTGTTCCAGTGGTAGGTGCTCGTTAAAGGCCTCTGCAGGAAAAGCCACTCGCCACAGCTCCGGCTCGGTTAAGGACTTCATCAATTGTCAGTAAACCCAACGGAGAAGCTCATTTCGAGTCCCCGAAAAACTGACACTTCCCCCACCCCAAACATTCCCTGGTGGCGCTTAGTGACCAAGAGGCCTCATATGTTACATTTTATAGGGATAGTCCTAATTTGGGTCTTCTCCTTATATAGGCTATTACCCCCGTCCTGATTTTTCACACTTGCTGTCTGGTCACCCTATATACATCACTGTCTTGTGTCCAGCCACAGATTGTACTCCTCCCACAACCTCATCCATAAAATCACATACATTGAACCTATTGTACTCTTGGGGGAATTCTGTGCACGTGTAGAATTCATTTCCCCCCCCCCAGAATTTTTTTTCTCTGCAAAAAATACATTCTGTTGGGCAGGTGCTGCAGGTACACCTTTCGCCCACCGGGGTTGCTATGGCACTAGACTAGAGGGTAGTTGGCTCAGCAAGCCTGGCTCTGCCCATTGGGCCAGGTGAGGAGGTATGGGATATGGGGACAGACAAGGGATAGGGGGGAAGATTGGGATGCTAGGGGGATCACATAGATGGGTTCAGAAGGGCTAGTGGGGGGGACATCTGGATGGGGGCTGAATGTGAGGGGGTGCAGGGACACCTGTGGAGGGGATGCGATGCAGGGACATAGGGACTGGGGCAGATGTGCCTGACTGAATGAGAGAGGCTAGGGGTCAGCCAGTGTCTGCATGGGGGAGGCTCCCCAGCTCCCTAAAAATCTCCCCCCAAAAACCACAACTGTTCCATACTTCTCTTGTCCACACCCACCAACCCTCCTCACTGCCAGGCTCCTTCCCAGCAATTACTTCCCCCTCTTTCAGCTCCTCCATTATCCCTGACTCCCCCAAGCCTTTGCACCGCTTCCGAGAAGTGCGGGAAATACGATTTTGTATTGTAGTTTAAATTAATTATTACTCAGAGTTCTGTATTCATTTGCCTAGTAAGGAATTTATTTGTCAAAAAAAATTTCTTGAATCTTTTTTTTGTCTGTATTGTTATAGACATACTTGCTGACAGGCATTTTGAAATAAGCTACCAAAATAATTGGAACTGGTGTGATTATATTGTGTTAATTAATTTTCCCAGTAAGGAATCTATTTGTCAAAAAACATTTCTTGAATCTTTTTTTGTCGTCTGTATTCAGTTATTCCCCCGTCAAGCCCCATCCCCATTATTTTTAGTAAAAGTCAGACAAATCATGAGCTTCCATTAATTTCTTTATTGCTCACAACCTTTCTGTGACTTACTAAAAATAACCGTGAGAAAATCTTTACCTTAAATATTAACATCCCTTTTGAAGTAGCTATTCAGCATTATCATGTTACTGAAAGTCATAACAGCTCTATTTTATCACAATAGTTCAGAAATGTTTAGAAACTCTAGAGCAGTGGTCACCAACCGGTTGATCGCAATCGACTGGTAGATCCTGGAGACTTTCACAATCAATCATGATCTCCGGCCACTGAAAGTCTGGTGGTATAGCAGGGCTGCTGCTAAGGCAGGCTCCCTGCCTGCTCCAGCCCCATGCCACTCGGAAGTGGCCAGCACGGCCCTGGGGAGGGGGGAGGGGCAGGGGTCTCTGTGTGTTGCTCCTGCCTGCAAGCACCGCCCCTGCAGCTCCCATTGGCCAGGAACAGTGGCCAATGAGACCTCCAGGGGTGGTGCCTGCAGAGGGGAAGCGCACGGAGCCATGTGGCCCCCTCCTCCCCGCAGGGGCACGTAGGCCCCTTCCAGGAGTGACATGGGGCTGGGGCAGGCAGGGAGCCTACCTTAGCTCCGCTGCATCACTGACCAAGGTAAGTGCTGCCCGGCGGGAGCCCACAGCCCAGCGCCCCCTCCCGAAGTCAGCACCCTGTACCCCCTCCTGCACCCCGACACTGTGCCTCAGCCAGAGCCCCCTCCTGCACCCAAACTCCCTCCCAGAGCTTGCACCCCAACCCCCTTCCCCAGGCTCAGCCCAGAGCCCTCTCCCACACTCCGAACCCCTCGGCCCCAGCCCAGAGCCTGCACCCCTTCCCGAACCCCTGCTTCAGCCCAGTGAAAGTGTGTGAGGGACGGAGAGAGCGGGGGGGTTGGACTGAGCGGGGTGGGGTAGATGCTAGGTTGCACTTAAATTCAAAAAGTGATCTTGTGCGTAAAAAGGTTGGAGACCACTGCTGTAAACTAGAATAAGTCCATATAAACCAAAATTCAGATTGTGGATTCTCATTTTAAGTTAGGCAGAGAGAGAGTTTATTTTTCTTTGAGCAAGTGATACACTGCAAAATCTTTTTCCCTCCAAGCCCATTCTTACAGTATATCTCAGGATAACTAAGTAATGGAACGCTTAAAGAGGTATACTGAAATTATTTTAGAAAAAACAACCAACTATATAAGTAAAAAACTCGGATCAATGTTGTCATTACTAGTTGCAACTCTGTTTTCTTTTTGTTGTCTGAGTGACCTGCCCCCCTGAAGTGCTAGGCTTTTTGTCCTCTCCTGTTTTGGGATGGAATCAAACAATTCTACTCTTAGATAGGGAACCAGGTATGCTACTCCATGCCTATTAACCACTTATTACTGAAGGTTGACTTGGTTTTGGACACTTGTGTTTTCTCCTTTCAGGAACCTGTGACCAGGGATATTGACTTATAGACGCCTTAAAACAAAATATTTTTATTTAGTAGTTGGAAAAAAGTAAAAAGAGTTTAAAATGAAGAACCTGTACACATTTGTCTTAATGTAGAGTACTACTATCCCAGAAATTGTAACTGCAGCACTCAGCTTCTTTAGATGCCCCACTAGGTCTCATGCTGGTCCTCTCTGACCCTCCTTTAGCCTGTGCACTTTTATCAGCCATATCCTTTCCTCTTTCTTTTCCTCCTGGGTTCTTCACGAAAGTCAGTAAATGCAAGGTAATGCTCATTGGAGGGAAAAAATTCAACTACTCATAGAATTTTGTGAGGTGGAAGTTAATTATATCAGCTCAGGAAAGTGATCTAGGCTTTATAGTAGTCAGCTCAATGCACCTCTTGCACTGTGTTTATTAAAAACAAAAACAAAAAACCCACCCTAACAAGATGATAAGATGCACAGGGGATGGAATGGCAAATAAATTGGAAAATATATAAATCAGTGGTGCACCTCAGCTGGAGCACTGCAGTACTGTTCACCCCATCTTAAAAACAATATTGCAGAAATAGAGGGAATTTAGAGAAGACAAAATTATTAGGGGCATGGAAACACTTATGTGAAGAGAGTTTGAAGAGATGGGGATTGCTTAGCGTAGAAAGAGACAAATCAGAGGGGAGATGATACCAGTTTATAAAATAATGATCAGTATAGAGAAAGATTTGGAGTGTCTGTTCTCCCTGTCTCATAATACCAGACAAGGGCACAGTCGATGAAATTAAGTTAGCAAATTAAAACAGGTAAAAAGGAAATATTTTTTCACACAATATGTAATTAAAGCATGAAACTCATTGTCACAAGAAGTTGCTGAGACCAAGAATTTAGCAAGATTCAAAGAAGGACCTAACCATTTATATGGATAGCAAGGATATCAGAATTGTAATACTTAAAGGTAACAAAAATTTTGGAAGGGATATTAAATGTCATGCTTCAGGGGTTAAGCCAATCTCTGAATAAGATGAGCTGTGAAATTAGGTCGGTGTAACTGTCGCTCAGGGGTGTGAAAAATCCACAGCCCTGAATGAAGCAGTTAAACCGACCTAGCCCACAGTGTAGACAATGCTAGGTTGGTGGGAGAATTCTCCCATCAACCTAGCTATTGCCTCTTGGGGAGATGGATTATCTATGCCAACAGAAGAACCCCTCCAAATAGTGTAGGTAGCATCTTCACTGATGTGCTACAGCGGTGCACGTGTGCTGCAGCAGCATTTTAAGTGTAGACAAGCCCTTAGTGACTGGCCCTCAACACTCAAACTCCATTTCACAGCTTAACAAAGAACCAGAATTTGTTGACATTGAGGCTATGCAGCCTCATATTTATTTAATCAAGATTTTTCTGAGGGGTGGGAGTAAAGATAGATTAATTTGTTCTGTGAGATTGTTGATTCCTTTAGTTGATATTGTACATGTATTCTGTGGTATAATTTTTAAATTGTACAAGTATATAGAAAGTATGGTATTTGCTCTTTATATATTTAAGAAAATAAATATATACTAAATTCTGACTAAATAGCTGATCGAGTTCCCTTTTTTTTTTGTAGATATCCAGATTGCTACAGAAGGATGCAGAGCAGGAGGCCCAGATGAGAGCCAACATTCAGAACATGAAGCAAGAACTCTCAACCATTAGTATGATGGATGAGTTTGCTAGATATGCCCGGCTGGAAAGAAAGATTAACAAAATGACTGACAAACTTAAAACTCATGGTAGAGTGCAATATTTGCCACTTGTTCAGTTTACCTAAAAACACATCTTTTTCCAAGTATGTTTTTATTTTGACTGTATTTGACCTTATCTGTAGAGCCTTTCACATTTTTCTTTATCCCTATCCAGTGCTCTCTCTTGTTTTTTGTTTTGTTTTTAAGTTTGAGGGTTTTATTAATATTGTTTTTGTTTCTGTTGTACGTAATACTAAAGGGGTGGGAATATAAGTACCTTTCAGAGGAATTCACAAGGAAACTGAGGCAGAAGGCAAGTTTTCATTTTCTGTCTGAAGAAACACTCCAGTCAGTCAGTACACCTAGAATTTTTGAGTTCAAGTCAAAATAACAGCGTGTCTTTAAGACACTTTCATGCCACTAATGCTATGTCTTCGTTGCAAAAAGGTGTTTGTTTTTTTCTACAGCAGGATAATTAATGCATGTTACAATCCCTTTGTAAAGTCTTAATGGAGACAAGGCACTGACTGGAGATTTTACCACAAGCTAATTAGACAAGGTCAGTGCTATGTCTCCTGCCTGTGGTTGACCTCACCTAATTTACCTCTTGGTAAAACTACAGTGCATTGTCTCTACAAAGCTGTTTAATAAAGATTTTGGCCGCTGGGCCACCATGTTTAAAGATATATTTTTTTGGATGGATTACTTTATATTGCTCTGAAGCACCACAGCGGTTGAAAATCAAATTGGAAAAACAGTCTTTCTTGTCAGATGTAACTATTTGGAATAGTCACACTAAAATGATTTTTCATTCTGAATGAGATTCATTCAGCTGGGCAAGAAAGTATTCTTGACAACATTCCCATGAGCCCGAATGGTTAAAAAAAGGCAGTGATAGAATGCCTAATGCGATAGTCTGTGTCCGCTAAAGAGATTGCACTACCCCTATGGAATAGAGAGTACTCTCGTTTGTGTTTAGTCCAACGTAAGTTTTCATAGGTCAGCAGCTGTAGAGATTCGTTTTGGTTGGGGATAAAACTCTTGGTTAACCATGACATTTCTTTGTCTAGTGAACCACTATTTCAAACATTCCCCAGAGTAGCTTTGTGTAAGGAAGTAGGTAGCATCTTACTCACAGAGGGATACTCTATAGCGTACACTGATATTTTGGATGATGAAAAGAATGCCTATGTTTTCCAATAATAAATTGCCAGTGACAGCACATAAATAGGAGTCTAATCTTTGAGCAGAATATTTTCATTTGGAAAGTGAAATATTAATAATTCACCAGTTTGAGGTAAGCACTTTACTGTTTATAAATAATACAGGTGGCAATATTTCTTTTCTTTTCACAGTGAAAGCACGAACTGCTCAATTAGCCAAAATAAAGTGGGTGATAAATATTGTATTCTACATTCTACAAGTAAGTGAACACTTTATTACGATGGAATACCGATCATTAAAACAAATACTTACAATAATATTTTACCATTCTGCAGCTTTGGCTAATACTTCCACTATGTCTACACTACCGACCTAACAGCAGCACAGCTGTACCACTGCAGCTCTCTCACAAGTGCAGCCTCTCTATGCCGGCGGGAGAGAGCTCTCTCACCAGGCTAATTAAACCACCCCCAATGAGCTGCGGTAGCTATGTTGGTGGAAGACACTCTCCTGCCGACATAGCACTGTCCACGTCGGCGCTTTTGTTGGTGAAACTTATGTTGGTCAGGGGTGTTTTGTTTTTGTTTTTTTCCCATGCCCTGACCGACAAAAGTTTTGCCGACAAAAGTGCTAATGTAGACAAAGCCATAGACTTGCATCTGACATTCTGACTATATGTAGCATGGCAAATGCTATCATCAGTAAATACTTATTTCCAGGGATGGAGGATATTGCTGATGCGGGGGGGGGGGGGGGGGGAGAGGGGGGTGGTATTTGCGGGGAGAAGGGATTTTTGAGTTTGATTTAATGTCTGGTCTGCTGTTTTCCGGCTTTGGTGGGAGAGGAGGCTTCTTGCCTTATCCTTTACGTCATTGCTCTGTTGTTTATGTCAGAGGCAACTGGCGCCCAGGATGATAGGTGCTATCTATCTTTGTAAGCTGGGCTGGTAGCCCTGCCTGTTGTTAAGGTTGCTTTACATTTACAGTTATAAGACCCTGTTTTCAGTTGCTTATAACTTTGCCAGACTTCAACTGTTTGGACTGAAATTTTCCCTGAAACTGATGCTGACATTTTAATATTGTGTGTATAGTTAAGATGATGTAAGTAGCATCCAGATTGTAACAACTTTTTGTAGTTTTATGGGCACAATCTGACATTTGTAAGTTTAGCCGCACTTCATAATTATTCCTATTTTAATTTACTGCCACAAAATAGAAATTTGAACATACTTTTTTATGTGTTGTTTTCCTGGCTAATGAGAATTTCCATTCCAGGCTGCTTTGATGATCTCACTAATTTGGAAATATTATTCTGAGCCAGTTACTGTGCTTCCAAGCAAATGGCTAGCCCCATTGGAGCGTTTAGTAGCCTTTCCTACTGGAGTGGCAGGTAAGATTGTGTATAAGTAGTATACATTTCTCTTCTCTCCAAGTGTATGTGGAGTTCAAGAGTGTAACGAGAAAGGGCACATGGAGGATAAAAATGCTTTCCTTACCTATCTTTCTAATAACAAAGAGAATTTTAAACTACAGTCTTTACTGATCAGGCTTCTGGGCCATACTGCAATTTTAATATTAAATAACATAAAAAATGAAGGCCTCTTTCACGTTATGGGAAATTTGAAAAAAGTGATCAGAGAAGGAACAGCCTGCTCTCAGCTTCCTTTGCTGAAGGAAACATGATTAGGCTGCATGGGGGCCTATACGCAGAAATATGTTTCCCTTCTTGGTTTTAATTTTTTTACTGAAGTAAGTTTAAGCAATTCCTGAAGCCTTCCTGGATGTCTGGTCTCGTATTTCCATTTGGGATATTCCTTTCTGGGCCCTTGGCCATTAGCAGAAACCTGCATTTGCTTCTGAGAGAAACTGCATGTGTTTCCTTTATTATGTTAAAACTAAAAAGATGTTGAAAGGAATTTATGTAGGGAAAATAAATTAGAGATCAATTTTATACTAACAAAAGCCAAAACCTCACATTCGATTAGAGTAATCATGTACAGGTCATATATAAAGTGATTTGAAATGAATTTAGAAAAGTAATGCTCCAGGGCCCACTCCCACTTCCATTGAAGTCAATGAGAGCGTTACATTGACTTTGAAGGATTTGGTGTTTAGTGAGAGACCTTGGCAAGGTGTTGTTAGACAGTTTACAACGTGTCAAGTCTAAACTTTTGCCTACCTTAAAAATACTATATCTTTCCACGTTGGCTTCCTGATCCTTGAAAATCTATCATTTTGAAAACAAGAGCTTCAACAGAAGGCTAAAAAAATGGAACTTTTCTCCAGCACTACCTAACAGTAAATTCAAGATTCAAGGTTTCTCTCAGGTCTCAGATCCATGTTTCTGAATGGAGACCCTGACTACTGTATACTGACGAGCTGAGCAGACAGGCAGACTGCAAGGACAATGTAACGTGTGTGTGTGTGTGTGTGTGTGTGTATATATATATATATATGCCCACAAGCTAAAACACAGGTGACAGCTTTTATTTTAAGCCTACCGGTATATGTGCCAATGGTGTCCTCTTCAAAGGATTCTAAATTATGTTGCTATCTTTTTAACACTTAAAAGCTTTCTTGAGCATGGTCCCTATTCACCATGATAACTTGCCGAGACAGGACTGTGTTTCTATGGTGCTGGGAAGGATTAGTCCTTGAAAGGCATTTACTTAAACAATACATAAAGCTTTGAACAGTTCTGTTCAATTATCTGTCTCTCATCCTCTTCTTTTGTCTTAGTTGATAATCATGAGGGAAGGCTATTGCTCTTGAAAATGCTTCTAAATTATGCTGCTCCCAGTACAGAGACATTTAAAACCATTGAAAAGAATAGTTTCTCCACCTCTATCCCAAGGAAATAATTTTCATTTTTTAAACATGATACTGAATTGACAGCATAAAAATGCAGAAACGTACAAAAAGAGATGCTAAACCACATGAAGAACTAAAAGCTCATCCAGACTTTTTCCCTTTGTTTTTTATTTTGCTTTGCCAGCCTAAAGTGAATTGTGGGATGTGATTGGTCAGTGTCAAGCAGCTTTTGTGGGATGCCAAGAAAATCCAGCTTTTGGTTAAAAATTACTGTTCTACTTTCTAAGAATTTGACACTTTTTTTAAAAAAACTTGTGTGCAGCTGTACATTCACTTGGAAACAACAATTCTCTTTAGTTTTGAAATACTTATTTTTTAAGAAGTATCATATTTCCCTTTTTGTTTTATTTACCACTTTATTGTTGCTGAATTTCCTGGTGTACTTCAGTCTGGAAACACTCTATTCTGCCAAACATAACTACTATATGTCAACACTGTTGGTTTTAGTGGGAAGGCCATTTAAAACAGTAGCACAAGAGTATCTGGAGGGAGGGTCCAGTAGTGATGGAGTTAATAGTTTTTTTCCTGGGTATGCATATTTAAAACATTGCTTTAAAACAAAACAAAAAAAAATTTTCAGGAAACATTCTTTTTACCCACCTTGAATTTTTTTTAAATTTAAAAGGAAGGTTCTACTCTGGTGCTCCCTTTCTACTTCACCTTTGTCTTCAACAGCAAAGTTATATCTCTAATCACACAACAGATATGTTTAGAAGTTGCAGGATATGTATGTCACGCATTGGAACATACTGTACCTCTAATTCAGTACCATCTCCCTGACTTTCAGATTCTCTCAGAATTAGGTATAAATACGTTATCCCTTGATTCCTTAAAATTTTCATTTTTGACACTTCCTGAGTTACTTACCAGAGTTAGAGATGTGTGTTTGAGAGTTACTGATACAATAATATACGATGCTTTTCTCTCTCCTCAGGTGGTGTTGGAATTACATGCTGGCTTGTGGTCTGCAACAAAGTTGTGGCCATTATGCTTCACCCTTTCAGCTGAGAAGGAATCCCAGAATTCTGAACTGCATTTCCGTTATTATAGTTAGAAAGTGGAGTCCTGAAGTCTTTTACGAGAGACAAAATACAGAGTTTGCCCTAAGTACTTCACTTCTGGTGTATAAAGGGAGAGAAGCCCTTTCTATCTAAGAAAGCAATTGTTGTATACAGTGTAATAATTAAGCATGAATTAATTTTCATCTTTTATTATTTCAATTGAATATTTATCAATAAGGTTTATTGGTCATACCTTCTTCCCTTGACTTATCCCTCAAGTTCTTAGTCAACAACTTTTAAAGAATAATATTACTCTTGATAAAGCCTCATTTTTTGTTGTTGATGGCTAGTATATACACTGGTTAACTGCAGAAACAAGAATTTGTCACTACAATTTCACTGAGAATCAGCTGCAATGCTGGATTAACTATAGCTTTTTAAGGTGAATTACAGAGTGGGTGTGGATTCTTTTGGGGCTTTACTATTTATTTGGGAGAAGTATAATTTTCTTTTGGTGGAGTAGGGAGGTAAATTTACTGCTTGTTTATTTTAGAATGTGATTTCCTGACTTTACCTTGCAGACTTCAGCATTCGTGGGCTGTCTTAGAAGATGCACTGCTGATTTAGTTGAAATCTAAAGTTGTCCCCTGGCCCTCTCTCAACTGCCAGATATGTGGTGGCTGGCTACTTGTTCCTGTCTGCTCCCAAATGACAATGGAGACCCACTTGCTTGAACGTATTATATCTCCTCTCCGAAATGGCTCTTCCTAGCCCCGGACCTGATTCTCCCTCTCAAAGTACTTCTCTTCCCCCATCTCTCAACTTGTACTGTCTTGGGAAGGAACGATGTGGCCAGTCTCTTCCTGTTTCATGGTTGAGGAGGAGAAGCAGGAAATGTTTAAACTTCAGAAGGAAGAGCAATCACTAACATTTCAAAATATGAGTAATGTCATCTTCCAGGATAGCCCAAGATAGTCTGCAAGGTAAAAAAGTAAGTCAGGGACTTAGATTTCTAAAGTAATAGAAAATCTTGAAGAAAATGATAATTAGCAGAGGAAAAACTTTACTTTTTGGAGTGAATCCTCTTTTCCCCAGTGCTAAGCTACAGTAAACAGGCTGGATGCATATGGTCCTGCAGGGGAAGGGCCTCCCTACTAGCCTGCCGAACAGTGATAAACTGTTTTGCAACAGCTTGGCTACACTGTCTGCTGCCCATGTCATTCCTTTCCTGAAAGGCCAGTGGTCAGTGGATTGGCAGAGTCCTTGATCCACAAGCCCTGCATGCCTCTACGCTGGCATGGAAAAAACTAATGTGGAAAGGGGCACATAACACGCCTGCATAAGTTCCAGGAACCCTGGCTCACCTGCTTTCCCTGTGCAAGGGACCTGCATCTGTTCCACTACATTCAGTTCCCTTCATAGTCCTAGCGGGGTGTGCCTGATTCTCATCCCTCCCCCAAATGAACACTTCGTTTAGGAATGAATTCTTAAGGTCATGATATCTGTTCTGTGTGTGTGCATGAAATGTTTTTCTTTGTATGTTAATTTTTAATTTGTTTTTTATGTTGGTTATGTTGAGCCAGTATTAATATTTATGCATAAAATATGCACGACCAAGAAAAAAATACAGGGATTGAGAACTGCTGTGCATGGTTTCTTTATTCATTAAATAAGGTGGTTCTTTCCATATTCATTTTAATTAAAACTTTTGAAAAGATTAATGAGCATTATATTGGTAGATAATTGGTAGTTGCTACCTAAGGAGATAAACAAGGAAACAGTGCATTACATACACAAACTTTGAGGCACTAAAAGTAGATTATTTTAACCATGCTATTAACACTGGTCCCCTAGATGCATCTGATGATGCTCAAAAGTCTTGCATTTCATTTGTTTTGAAGTGAAAGAGCAGCAAGACCAGTAGGAGCAGCATCTTTTTCCAAAAGAAAAGTTGCTTTAGCAGTAGATTTGTGTTGTCTATTTTGGTTACACTTACTAGGCCAAGTCTTGCTCTATTTATTCACACAAGTAATCCTATTGATTTCTTTAATCAAACTCCTTGTGAGAGCAAGAGCAATGAAGTTTTGGCTCTGAGAACTGTGAACAAAGTTGTTGGTTTAAGTATTTTTTGAATGTGACTGCTCCATATGCTGGGTATGGCTATAATCACAGGAGAAATATTGAAATTTCATAGATATTCTTTCCCCATGCATTTTTGATCACACTACCAACCATCTTTGAAGTTTTTCATTGCAAAGTTTAATCAAAGTATTTTATCTTTAGGAAAAAAGCTATCAAGTACCAAGAAAATTACTCTTATGTGAACACATGCAGGGTATCTTAATCCTGAAAAGTGACTAGAATCTGTTACAGGATAATTAATGTTCATGCTACTGTTTTTAAATGTCCTTGACTTTTTTGAAAATTAAATCAGACAGATTTTTTTTTCCCTTTCTGACCCTTGCTACATATCTGAAATATCCTACTTTAAGTGACTACAGATTTAAAAAAAACAGTAAACAAAGGCAAGGCTATTTGAGAAGTGGACATCCCCTACTTTTCCAAAACAACCCATTCAATGGGCAAAATAGTGCAGACTTCATCACCTGAGTCCAGTGGTTGGGATGCGGTGCTTTGAGGAATTCTAACTTTCAGTGGCAACGAATGAAGCTTCAGAGCTTTCTGGAACTGGTGAAAATATAATTTTGTTTGAATTTTGGAAGATATTTCAGGACTGAACTTTAACTTTTATTGTATCAGGGCCAACTAATGACCATAAAAGCAAATCAATCACCTCAGCCAGCTGAAAAATCTCACATAGAAATCCAGATTGAAGCGAAAGATCTTGCATTTTACCCTAAAGGCTGCCTGTCCTGCTTGAGCATTGGTGGATGATATGGATGATTGAATTCCAGAGCTGAAGTCCTTTCACCAATAAAGGTCTGCTGTCTGTCCCCAGCATTTCAACTTTAAACTCTCAGCAATTTGAATTAATATGTTCTCTTATTCTGACACAAGATCACTGAAATCCTTCAGCTTTTAGTCATGCCACTATTGGATAAAAACATAGCTTACATATGATTACTTTTATAGTGTTAAAAAAAGCACTTTATATATCTATATGGGCCCTGATCCACTAAAGTACTTAAGTACTTGCATAATTTTAAGCAGGAATAGTCATAGTGAAGTCACTGGGACTACTTGTGCTTAAAGTTATGAAACTGCTTAAGTGCTTTGCTAGACTTAGGGGCTCAGATTTAAAAGCTACACAAATATTTAAAACGGGTGTGAAATCCTGGCCCCACTGACTTCATAGGGGCAGAATTTTGCCCCATAAATCCAACAGGTATTTCAATCCTGTTTGTCTTTTCACTGTTCTGTAGCACAAGCCCTTCTTTAATGTTACTCTTCCAGACAACTTCAACTGCTTTCCAACCTTGACAGCCTTTCACTGCAGCTAGCATAAACATGGTTTTAATATTCTTTATTATGGTACATTCTAATATGCCCAAGAGTGTTCAACCAATTGAGTAGCATGCATAAGCATTGGGACACGGCCCTTGTAGAGAAATACTCTCCTGTAACTGAGTATTCCATTTCAGTTTTATTGCTGAAGAATGGTTCAGGTAAACATTCTAATAAGATTTAAATGAAATCTTACAAATAATGAAGGCAAAAAAACAAAACTGGTAGGCAACACACTGCTTTTCAACAAATGTTAAACATATTGCATATTTTAAGATTAAAGATAAACAATTTAACTTTGTACATCAATTGAATATTAAAACTATTTTATGTCTGAGGATGAAGTTGTTAGTTTAGACTTTCCTAGTGTAAGTTTAGAATCTCCACATTGCAGACCAGTATCAGTGTTTGAAATCTCACTTGTATAATTATGTAACCTTTCATTGTCCACAATTGTTTGTTCTTTATCAAGCTCTTTTGTGTTAGGGGTTGAATGGTTGTTTAAGACATAGCTTGGTCCAAAGAGTTCTTCCATAAGAGAGTTTTTCCTCTCTATTAGTGTTGTACGAACATAGCTTCCATCCTCTGCATCTTTCTGCCTTGTTTTGGTAACTTTACCAAATGATGGCTCATATATGCCAAATGAATTTCTTGCCTTCAATTCAGCTGTCTCACTCTGGTGCCGACCTGCTTGTCTGTTTTTGCGGAGGCTGCCTGTGTTGGACACTGGACCTGATGCAGGAAGCCCCTGATGCAAGTTTTCAGTGGCTTCTGTGAATGTATACTGTTTTTTTAGTCTAGTGGGTGTTCTGTTATTCTGAGTTGGAGTTACACTTTTATCATCCGCTGCTCCTTTGTCACTTAGTTGTTTACTTTTTCTTTCCTCCTTTTTATTCTCTTCTGCTACAACTTTTTCCTGATTATTCTTCCTTATTGGGACATCATTTGTAGGTCGAGTTTGTCCTGCTTTCATCAGTTTCTCCAGTTCTTCTTTCAGTAAGTCAGCTTTCCTTTCTTGCACTTCTCTCTTTTTCTTTTTTCTTTCGATAAATTCAAAGTGAGTTTTTTCTTCCGTGAGCTGTATTTCATCACTTAAAAATTCTACAATGGAATATTTTTATTTAGCAATGTTCTTAATTTAGGGATTATTTAAGAGCATTAGATAGTGCAAAGACATTTTACCTATGTAAATCTATATACCATCATTCTTGTTTATATTTCACCAGTTCTATGAGATTACTAAGAAGATACTATTCACTAATGAGTATGCCAGAAGACTTGTTAGATCTAGATAGTACAGCACCCTGACGCTAAACTGACCCTAGAGTTTGCATCTAGGCTTTTACTACATATTTTTCCAGATGTTTAACTTTATTCAGTGTACAAATGTAATAATTTTATTCATGATAATTTTTATTACTCCATGATTTTGTAAAGGGTGAACATAAAAAAGTGATATACTTCTATATGACAAAGTCCAACTACCAGCCCTGCAAACAAATTCAACATGTGATCTAAACTCAAATTGTGTTCTTTTTGTCTTCAGCATCATCACCCATCATGAAGAATTCTGGAACTTAAGTGACAATTTTGTTGATGTTGAATAAGGTGGAAATGATTCTACTTTATCATTTCCTAGCTGTATTGGCTCTGTAGTGTGGGCATTGGTAGGTTTTTTTGGGGGGGGGTACTATACACACATACAGCACCCATGGTTTATATATCAAGTTGCTATATATTTTAAAAAAATAGGGATGGTCTCACTGCCTTGGAGATAACTACACGCTGCCAAACAATAAAATGAGCTAAAACCCAACCTTAAAGAAAAAGCAGATTACAAGTGGAAGTGAAAATAGTCAAAGATTAACTGAAATAAACAGAAAGGGCTTATACCAAGGACCGAAGACCACCAAAGAGTGATTTTGGCTCAGTAAGAAACCACCACCACTCTTGCAGGGTGGGTTCCCCTTGTTCATGCAGCTACAACAGATATGCCTCTTCAGGGATAACAGCATTAACAGTGTCAACAGAGGGCCAAGTAGCTTTGGTTCACCTTTGGGGTATGACAAACCAAAAGGAAGTTTTGAGAGGAAATGGGCTCTGATCTCAATCCTTGTTGAGACAATTGGGGAGACAAAGTAGATTGAGACAAACTCTAGACAAGGTTC